TGCAAGAATGAGTATTACGACAACAAACACTCAGTGAAACCTCTTTTACAGATAGAAAACCCCCCACAAGGTCTGCCATGCGTCTCAGGGCCACAGAATGTGTGTGTGTATTGTGTTATATTTAGTGTGAGGAGAACAAGAAGCCGAAGAGGTCTTAATACATCATACTCTGCTGCTGAACTCAGAAGAAGTTGAATAATGAACTTCTTACATACAGATACTGTTCTTGCATCAGGCGTTAATATGTGTGTATCAGGGCCCAGCCCCTTCCTTCTTCCAGGCCTTGGTTAAACCATACACTCCAGCACGTGCACTACGCTTGGCGTCAGCCAATCGGCTGCTACTACATCTCTGTGAGTGGGACCCAGGTACCCCTCAAAAACACGCCTGTCTTCTATCCTGGCTCCTAAATGGTGGAAGAGCTCCCCATTGACATCAGGACAGCAGAAACTCTGCATATCAAAGCTAAATGAAAACCCATCTATTTCGATGATTCGCTGGCAATTCAAAAAAAGAAAAAGCACGTTAAAGAATTAGCTTAGGCCTTGTAACTAATGCACCAGCAGCAATAGTATGACTTGCTTGAAGTGCACTTTCCTTGTTGTTCGGTTTCAGTCTCTATGTTTTTTTTGCACTTATTGTAAGAAGCTTTGCAAATGAAATGAAATGTAATATCTTGTTTTGCTGTGATCATGTTGAACTGCTGAGAAGCTTTGTGTTGTCCTTCCTCAGGTGTCCCTGCAGTACAGGGGCTCTCACTTCTGTGGGGGGGCCATCCTGACTGAGCACTGGATACTGACCGCTGCACACTGCTTGGCTTCACACTCTAAGTACTCTCTTACTTACTCTCTGCTACTGTCCAGTGCATCATGTCTATGGATATCACAGTGGACTGTCTTGAATGTAAAGGTTTTCTCCTCTGTCTAGAGAGTTCCTCAGCGGAGTGAGAGTGGTGGTGGGAGAGTTCGACCAGAGAGTAGATGATGAAGAGAAGCAGGCCTTCCTCATCAAGTCTGTCTCAGTCCACGAGAAGTACCATCACGCTTTGCCTATGAACTATGACATAGCTCTGATGGACTTGGATCAGCACATTGTACTGGGCAGGTTTCAGAAAACCAGGAATAGCACTGATCATGTTTTAGGGCCAGTTCGCTCCAAAGTCAAAACAACAGCATATGTCCTCCTACCTGTGTATTTATCGATAGGTTTAAGGTGCACAGGTTTGGAGATATCAGTCGTAAAGATGGCTGTCTTCTTTTGATGTCTCTTTAAAAAATGCATGACCTGGTTACTTGAGATGATCCGCAGACCTTTTTATGAGCAGTTTAATGGAGGAACATTTTCTTTGTACAGAACTACAGCCACCTACCGTATCACAGAGCGTCTCCTCGTGGTGAGAGGCTCGTGATTGGGTGAAACGGTTGGCCGGCAAGTTAGGGAGAAGGAAAATAGTCCCTATATAACTGGTAAGGTCTGTGGGTAATTCAAGTAATTGGGTCGTTATTTCTGGAGAAAGATATTGTATCATCCCGAGAGAAGACAGACACATTCTCGATGTATGTAATACCTGACACAAAGAGGGAAATACAGCAGTAAGAGGAAAGAGAACATATTTATTTTTTCATTAAGGTTTTGCTCTGTGTTGTTTTTCAACAGGAACCCATGTTCAGTCAATATGTCTGCCTTTGCCCGATGACAGCATCCAACCGGGAACCAGTTGCATCATGGGTGGATGGGGCCGGATGAAGGAAAGTTAGTATTTCCCCCACCAAATACTGTAAATCAACTTGTTCTTTAGTCTAATATAATTCTAATATATTTGACTGTGTCCTAGAGGGCCGTGTTCCTGCGGTGCTGAGAGAGGTCAAGTTAGACCTGGTGGATCCGGTCAAATGTCAATATGTCCTCCACACTGTCAGGAGCTCAACTCGTCCCCAGAGACCAGCCCAGCCTCAGCCTGCCATGACCGTTCTGTGTGCCGGGCCAGAGGGGGGGGGGAGAGACTCCTGCCAGGTATAAGGAGAAGATCTGCTTCACCATCATTCCACATTTAGTTCAAGAGCAGTGGAGCTTCCCTGAACTCTGAATCAGTCATCAGATTGTGAAAGGTTGGTCATGTTATGACTCCTCCCTCCATCCTCTCTGCAGGGGGACTCGGGGGGGCCTTTGGTTTGCCCTGCAGGTTCAGGCGAGGGCCGCTGGGTAGCACTGGGTGTGACTTCCTGGGGGAAGGGATGCGGTCGGAGCTGGGGAAAGAACAGCAGCCGCCCCGCCGCCAGGAGAGGATCTCCAGGGGTTTTCACTGATGTCAGGCTGCTGCTGCCTTGGATCAAGAGTAAACTGAGACAGGGTGGGTTAGGATCAGGTAATAATAAAACTCTGTTTCTCAAAAGTCAGAATAGAGAGCGACCAATTGGATCAATATACTTTCTACACAAGTGTATTTACAGTCTATGGTGTTTATGATACATTAGATACGGCATCACATGGTCACATTCTGGTTGGAATAAACTATAATGTGTACACGTCTCTCCGATGACACTTCAAATATATTGAATGTCTGAGGGCTGCTGGGGTTAGCGGCAGGCTAAAGACAGAGTCAGTGTCCTCCTGTCTGACAGCTGGCTTCACAGGACTGTCCTTCTGATGAACTACTCTTGAATCTTGGTGGTGGAAACAAACTGTAAACAAAACAATGCCATACCACTGATGAAGAAAAGTACAGTAAGCCTGTCAGCAAACATTCTCAATCTCATTGACCTCTATATGTTTGTATTCATTTGGAGCTGAGTGTCTGGCCACCTGGTGAGTGTGACTCTATATCTCTGCACTGAGATCTGTATGTTTGTCGTGGGTCTCTGGCTGAAAGCATGGTTTATTTTCGTGGTGATAGTGAACCAAAACCATAGAGTTACTTACAGTTAAAGCAAATCATGAGCCAAAAACCTCCTCAGGAGAAATGCAGAGGGAGGTCAAATATCTATTTCAGTTTGTCACTACAAATACTCAACACATATTTGAATCATTGTTCAACCAATCTCACAACTCAAAAACTGAAATCAGTTTGATCAATACATTGATCTCAAACAGGAAACTATTTATATTTGTAACAAAAAAGGACCTTCTTCTCTTCAAAGTCAAAACTAGGTAAGGAAGGTGAGATGAAATATTGTGATCAGTATAAACAGCTCAAAATGTCTCCTCCTCACCAGCAGCAGCAGAGTTGGAATGTTAAACTCCATCACTGAGAGCTGCTGGTCTGCTCAGATGGACTGACTGTGGTTTATATATCCAGATGTGTGAACACAGGTTTTCAACATGAGTTTGCTTACTAACGTCAGGGCGATAAAAGATTCTTTATTAATCAGGCTTTGGGATTAAACTTGATATACGTTAATATAAATGTACATACATAAAACATAAAAGTGTTGGTACACAATTCTGCTCGAAGCTATTCATGTATTAGTGTGACATTTGCCGGCAACAGAGAGATATCATCATTTGTTCTTGTACATAATAAAAAGGTTTATGTCATGTGTTTTCTTTAGCTGATGAGCCACAGCAGAGAACATCTTTATCCAGTGAGTAGTTCCTCCTCTCATCACAGCAAGTCTTCTTCATCCATATTTCATAATGCTGCTTTGATGTATGCAGGATTATCTGTGTGTGTGTGTGTGTGTGTGTGTGTGTGTGTGTGTGTGTGTGTGTGTGTGTGTGTGTGGTGTGGTGTGTGTGTGTGTGTGTGTGTGTGTGTGTGTGTGTGTGTCAGTGCTCTGCAGTGTGAGAGATGGTCCTGCTGTGTGTAATCAGAAGAAAATGTGTACATTTGACAAATATTTGCATAAATACCTGTTCTGAATTCACTGTAAAGATATCAGCAACACTTAGTGATAGGCAAACTAAAACTACAAAACAAGTGAACTTTAAACATATGCTTGGATAAAATATAAAATCGTATGTAAATGGTCTTTTTCTGCAGACCTTCATGCAGGTGTGCAGACTCTGAGGGGTGAGCAGCGACACGCTACATCTTACG